CATATTCCTCTTTCAGAACTTGAGAAGTCTAACTAAAAATCAAACAAGAAGGAAAATGGCAGAATAGATTTTTTAAAATTAGATTTGAAAGACTTATGGCTACTTTTGAAAAGGAATATTTTAAAAATAAGTATTTCTTATCACCTGGTACACCTTTACCAAAAACTGAACATGCGCTAGCACAGAGAAATCATAAATACATGTAAAAACGGGGAGTTATCCAACATCTTTTTCAGTACACTTACAAATATTGCATCAGAACTGATTTCATTGGTGTAAAGCAGCAGTGTCCAACTCAAATAGAAATGGGGGCCACAAATTGACTGCGAAAACCACACATTAACATTGTCTAGGTCCTGTGGCATTCTTGTGTTCCATATTTTCCAATTATATGTTCATCTGGTTCAGGCTACACTGGGGAGTGCTGCAGCCATGTGCTTGACACCGGTGGTATAGACCCAGGGCAGAAATTCCCTCTATCACAGCAGATCACCAGTACCAGTCCAGTGGTTAGAATGTAGGTCTTGCTTATCACAATGTAATTATATATGTAAATATGTATACACACACACGCACAAGCACTGGGTGTTGACCAAAACAATGACATCCACAATAACGAATGAGTCAAAGAACAAATTATAGAAATAAGAAATACTTTAATAAAAAGAATAACAAATTAAGCAACATGCCAAAACTTTGATGGCAGGTGGCTAAAGCAGTCAGCCAGTCTCGTAACAGAAAAGTTGTTCAGGCCAGACAAGCAGGACTTAGAAGCCAACGAACCGGCTGGTCCGAGACACAATCAGCCCAAGAGCCCAGACCCACTTTCCTACTCTTTGAACTAGTACCAAATAGCTCGGGTAATTACTGCTTGATAGCAGAGGTGGCAAACTCACTGCCTGAAAAACTCCTTCTGCTAGAACCGGATGAAAATGAAACTGGGAGATGTTTAACAAAATAAAAATATAATGCAACGTAGATATTAATTTCTGGTTGACATAAGATTAGGAGAAATATTTGGAATCATATTTGTAAAGCACTTAGCACAGTGCCTGGCACATAGTAGGCACTCCATTTCTATTTGACTGTGACACCACCACTTTACGGTATGTGATCTGGCAACATTAACCCCCCCTTAAATTCTGACTTTTACCCATTATTTCTTTTTTTGGGGGGGAGTTGTTTTGTTTTGGTTTTTTTAGGCAATTAGGGTTAAGTGGCTTGCCCAAGGTCACACAGCTAGTAAGTGTCAAGTGTTTGATCTGAGCCTGGACTGGAACTCACGTCCTCCTGACTTCAGGGCCGGTGCTCTATCTACTGCACCACCTAGCTGCCCCTTACCCCATTATTTCCCTTGAGGGCCTAGATCTTTCGTTCCGCCAGGTGAATTTTATTATTTCCTCTAGTACCATAAACCCCTAGGTAGAATGACTGGTACAGCAGTAAGCACTAATTGAAGCAATAATGTACTTTTCAAAGGGTTTTTCTCTATTGATAGTCATGCATTTTTTGTAGTCTGCGTAATTATACTAATTGTCTTCTAATGTTGAACTATCCTCAGATCCCGGGTGTAAATCTGACTTGGCCAAAGTAAACATTTGAGATATATTGCTACAGTCTAGTTGTTAATATTTTAGACTTTTAAAATCAATATTAATTAGTCAGACTGGTTTACAATTCTTTCTCTACATTATTTCTCCCTGGTTTGAGAATCGGTATCATCTTTAAAAACATTCAATACTATGCACTTTCTAAACTACTGAGAACAATTTTATAGTACAGATATTCCCTGCTCTTTGAATATCTGGTAGAATTAACTTGTAGTTCTATCTAAGCCAGATATTGTTTCTTTAATAGACCCCTTTTCTGAAGTGGGATAAGATTTCTCACACTTTCATTGTAGAAGAGATTGAAAGATGTGGCTCATTGATTAGGTCAACTGGAAATGGGCTAAATGGCCAGACCCAAAGAGAAGTCATTAATGGTGCTTTTATTAATGGACCAATTAGAAGCATCCTGGCAGGTAGATGTGTGTACTTGATCTTTTAGGTGACAAAGGTGAGAGGGTGAGCCCCCTGGATACCTGGCTTAGAGATCCAAAAGGAGCTTGGCAAGATGAAACACTCGGCCACAACAATAAAGATGGAGGTGAGCAGGGCAAACCAAGGCCAACCTCACAGGGCCAAAATAAAGGCAGTGCAGGTAGCCAGGTACTCTAGGGGCTGTAGCAGATTCTCTGCCTCTGTCCCACTCCAACTAAAACCGTTCTCTGTTCTCCTGGGGGCAGCTAGGTAACACAGTGGACAGAGCACTGGACCTGGAGTAAGGAAGACATGAGTTTAAATCAAGCCTTAGACACTTCCTAGATGTGTGACCTTGGGCAAGTCACTAATTGTTTAAGGGTGGATTTGAACTCAAGCCTTCTTGACTCCAGGTTCAACACTATCCACTTTGCCACCTAACTGCCTCAAGGAAATAGAAACCACGTAGCATGAACTTCCTCTTCTCCCATTTTACACCTCCACTTTTCACCATCCTCCCCTACTTGTCTTTGCCCTAATCTCTAACAAAAAGCTGTTCCTTTTCCTTTAAAACAAATCTACTTCTGAACTTGACCTCAAATCTTCTAGCTGCCTCAAGGAGTATTTCTCTTTGAGCATCTCCATCACTTCCTTCTTCTTGTTCTTCCATCATTCAGCCACGTCTGACTCTTCATGCCACCATGGGCCACACTGTCCATGGGACTTTCTTGGCAAATATGCTGGAGGGGTTTGCCATTCCCTTCTCCAGTTCACTTTCTTAAGTCTAGATAATCAACAAAACAATAAATCAAGCCCTGACCTACAGCATTTGCTGATTTCCCAGAAGTAAATGCTTAAAAGGAAAATTTAACAATCGGTCGAGTCAGTTCAAGCTGGCTGCAGCACACCCCTGTATCCAGGTACTCCCCAAACTTAAGACGAATAAATAACCCTTCTCTTGATCCCACCATCTCCTCAATTTTTCATCCATATCTTTTCTCCCTTTCATAATCAAATTCCTATAAAAGTCATCTTTCTAGATGATCTGTTTCCTGTCTTGTCCATTTCTCGATGTTTTGAAATCCTGCTTCCAAATTCACTGTTCTATGAAACTGCCCTCTCCAGTTAATCACTGATCTTTGGATAAATCCAATGACCTCACCTCAGGCCTAATCCTCCAGAGCAGCAGCTTGTGCCTAGCACATATTAACAAACGCCTGCTGCCTCGACAACAAATCTGGTCCAAACTCTGGTTGGCCTCTTGCATCTTCGGTCCATCCAGCACGCAGCTACCAGACACTCCTGAAGCACAGCTCCCACGACAGCATTCCCCGGCTCACGGAGCTCCAGCAGCTCCTGCTGCCTCTCTGAGATCAAGTACAAACCCCTCTGTTCAGCTTTCACTGCATCTCACCACAAGGCACGAGTCTGTCTGTCCCGGCTGACCGAATTTACTAAGAGTAGGTGTTTAAGAGCTGAGGGTCTGCTAGGATTGACACAGCTGATTCCATTTGGTTCTGTATGACCCAGCATGAATTTTGGGACCAGTTTACAACAGCCCATCTCTGTTAGTGTCTCCTTTTCCCGCTTAACTGCTCCAAAGAAGGACTTCAGTAGCTTCCTGTCGAAAGTACGAGGACACGCGTTCCCCTTCTTCATCTTGTCTCACGAGTGACGGATGAGCCCCTGTGGTTCAGCGCCCCTTGCTATCCCACCAAGGGCACCTTTCTTTTCTATTTCCGGCAACTCGTGACACACATTCTCTTTAACAAGCGTAGTGTTTTTTTTTCTTTTTGTATTACCAACTTCTCCGTGCTGAGCAGTCATTTTTTTCTCTCTCTGACTCATGTAACATAAATGTCACTAGCTAAACTGTAAGGGACACACATGCCTATCAACTGCTGGTAGAGCGTCTCATAACCTGCAGCTTTCCGGTCTCTGTGGATGGTATTACTGGGAGTGGCTGGTCAAGCAGATCAGAAGAAAATTCACCCAGCACAGCCTGCTCCAGTCCCACAGGCCTTGTCCATGACATTTACCTCCCACCAGGCCACCCCCCGTTCCTGAAATGCTCTCCTTTCTCACCCCAGCCCAGTGAAACCTCTTCCAGGTCCATCTCAAGAGCTACTTTTTTTTTTTTTTTCAGGCAATTGGGGTTAAGTGACTTGCCCAGGGTCACACAGCCAGTAAGTGTCAAGTGTTTGGTCTGAGGCCGGATTTGAACTCAGGTCTTCCTGACTTCAGGGCCGGTGCTCTATCCACGGAGCCACCCAGCTGCCCCTCAAGAGCCACTTCTTATAAAAGGCTTTTTTTGGTTCTCTCATTTGTTAGCGAATCCACCCAAATATTTTGTACTATTTGTGTCTATTCATTTATCTGTGTCCCTGCTGTTTCCCCCTCCCCCAGAGAAGAACAATGTAAAGTCTTTGAGAGGAGGGTCTGATTTATTTTTATCTTTGTATCCCCCAGCACCTAGAACAGCGCCTGGCACAGAGTGGGTGCTTAATAAACGCTTTCAGGATGAACTGAAACTTTCTTCGCCCCTTTGAAACGTGTCACTACGAACCACCTGTGTCTTTCCGGTTATTCTCTTATGACCCCCAGGAGTCTCTGAGACGCTTCTCCCCTAGTTTCTGCTATCTCCATTCCCTTTGCTGTTTCGTCATTCACATACTGCTCCGAAACTCTGGGAGTCCCCTGAGCTCTGACTTAGTCCTTCTTTGAAACCACCAGCTCTCATGGGTTAATTGTTTTAAGACAGCTGCGGTTGGGTCTTGCTCAGGCCACACCATCAGTGCGTGTCAGAGGCAGGACTTGGAGTCAGGTTTCCCTCTGTCCTTGGAGTGTAACCTGAGCAAAGAATGGCTTCCAGGTATCGCTTCCAGAAGATGCAACCTAGGAGGAGATAGAGTCACTAGAATGTCTTGGTCAGACAAAATCGAGATTATTAGATTCTGTTCTGAGCACATTGTAGGGAGGAGAAAGTCCAAAGGAACCCAACCGGGATGGTAAAGGGTCTTAAGGTCATGCTGTATCAGTTGAAGGATCCACTGGAAATGTTTACAGCCTAGAAAAAGAAAAGAATAGGTGGGGGGTGTTAGGAGGCAGGGAAGACTTGAAGACTTGGTAGCAATCTTCAAGTACCTGGTGAGCTTTCGTGGGAAGGCAGATTAAACTTCAGTTCCACAGGGGGAGCACTGGGAGCAATGGGCAGGATTTACATGGAAGTGAAGGCTTGGTATGAAGAAAATTTTTACAACTAGAGCCATGAAAAAGTGAAATAAGCTGCTGTCAGAGGCAGGTCCAAGTGGCTGAAGACCTCACTGGAGGTCTTTAAGCAAAGACTGCAAATTATATCACAGAAAGAATTATTTTCTAGGTATGGGTTAGATGAGATAGACTCCAAATCAGAAATGTTGTCATTCTCTGGGCTGGTGACAAATTCTGCCTTTTGGAGTCTCTGGTATCTGATGTGAGACAACTCTTTATGAAGCTGTTCCCACATTGTTTCTAAGTAGCATTTGTTAATAACAGAACAAAACTTCTGGTGATAGATGAGTGAGACCTCAAAGGTGTTCTTATAGTCATTACATTTGTAAGAGTTATTTTTTTTTCTGGTATGAACTGTCTGGATTTCACTGAACTCCCACTCTGATCAAGGCATGGAGATGACCATGGGCTCTCACTGAGCTGGAAAGACTTGGAGTACAGCCCCAGCTAGTCATCCTAGGAACTACTTAGCTAATTCAGAAAGGTTAATCCCAAAACTGGCTGTGGGATGATGGATTTGAGGGGGAAAGTAACTCTGGCTGAAGGCTCTCACACATTCTTTATATTCAAGAGGTTCCCCTCCCATATGATTTCCTTTTGGCTTACTAAAGGGTCCCCTCTGAATGAAGACTTGTTGTGAATCACGACATTCAAAGGGCTTTTCTCCAGGATTTATGCTCTGTTGGAATATGGGTGGGTTGTGACTGAAGGCCTTCTCACATTCACTGAATCCAAAGGGCTTCTCATCTGTATGAATTCGCTGATGTTTAGTGAGGTTTCCCCTCTGGCTGAAATATTTCCCACATTCTTTACATTCAAAAGGTTTCTCTCCAGTATGAATTCTTTTATGTCCACTAAGGTGTCCCCTCCGGCTGAAGACTTTACCACATTCAATACACATAAAGGGCTTTTCACCAGTATGAATCTTGTGATGGACAGTAAGGTGTACCTTTCGGCTAAAGGCTTTCCCACACTCACTGCAGACAAATGGTTTCTCTCCAGTGTGAATTCTCTGATGATAAACAAGGGTTGTTCTGTGGCTGAAATTCTTCCCACATTCACTGCATTCAAATGGTTTCTCTCCAACATGAATTCTCTGATGTTCAGTAAGGCTCCCCCTCCAGCTGAAATTTTTTCCACATTCATTGCATTCAAATGGTTTCTCTCCAGTGTGAATTCTTTGGTGTGCATTAAGGCTTTCCCTTCTGCTAAAGGACTTCCCACATTCATTACACACAAAGGGTTGGTCGCCTGTGTGCATTCTTTGATGTAGAGTAAGTCTGGAGTTATTGCTAAAGGCTTTCCCACATTCATTGCATTCAAAGGGTTTTTCACCAATGTGAATTCTCTGATGTTCAGTAAGACTTGCCCTCCTACTGAAGCATTTACCACATACATTACATTCATAGGGTTTCTCACCAGTATGAATTCTCTGATGATAAAAAAGGGATTTCTTGTGGCTAAAGAATTTCCCACATTTATTGCATTCGAAAGGCTTCTCCCCAACATGAATTTTCTGATGGTCAGTAAGACTTCCCTTTCGAGTGAAAGATTTCCCACATTCATTACATTCGAAGGGTTTCTCTCCAGCATGAATTCTCTGATGCTCAGTAAGTCTTCCTCTACGACTAAAGGCTTTCCCACACTCATTACATTCAAAAGGTCTCTCTCCAGTATGAATACTTCTGTGTTCATTAAGGTGCCCCCTCTGGCTGAAGGCTTTCCCACATTCGGTACAAATATAGGGCTTTTGTCCAGTATGAACGGTTTTATGTGCATTTAGGTGGCCCCTCTGGCTGAAGGCTTTCCCACATTCATTACATTCATAGGGCTTCTCCCCAGTATGAATTTTCTGATGTACAACAAGGTATCTTCTCTGGCTAAAGACTTTCCCACATTCACTACATTCATATGACTCACCTTCAATATTTTCTCCATTAAAGTGAACGAGGTCTGAGTGGTAATTGAAGGACTTTCTATACTTATTGTATTTACGTATCTTCTTCCCAAAGGATATTCTAGTATGCTTCATTATGTCTGAAAACTGCTTGAAGCTCTTTTCGAGGCATTCGTATTTAGGGAGATATTTTGCTGCAGGGACTGTCTGCTGTGGATCAAGGCCAGAACCCTGACTGGAACGTCTCCTAAACGTTTTCTTTCCATCAGCCGTCACCTGAGAAGAGCTTCTGCGAGCGTCTGGCAGCCGCCGCAGCCGCTTCTGTCGGATGCCCCGCCACCTCTCCTCTCCCATCTTAGAATCCCAGGGATCACCTGTGTCAAGTTCTCCCTTAGAAGACGCCTCCATCCAAATTCCCTGCACTGGAGCTGAACCCACGATTTCAAACCCATTCTCCTGATCGAGGAGATCTGAAAGAAACCACAGAGTGTTGAAGTTGATGCTCTTTGTGCTAAAACAAACCTTCATGGCAATTCTACGTTCTGTCTCCGACATCAAGAAGAATTACGACCAAGAAGCTTAGAGGCATTTAAAACAGACTTCTAAAAGAGCCTGAGGAGGTCCTAATACTGCGCCCTCCGCCCAAGACTAAATGGATCACATTTCAGGTGGTGAAGACTGTAAAGGACATCATCAGAGAATCCTTGCTGGCAACTGTTGGGAAGATGCCACAAATTCAAAAAGAAGAAATGGTTGGTGGGGATAGCCAGCCTGGTATAATCAAGAGAGCACTGAACTGGGTCACAGGACTTGGGTCAAAATCACAGTCTTTGCCTTCCACCACCTAGATTATGTCAGGCAAGTTATTTAGTTAGCCTCTGTCTGTGCCTCAGTTTCCCCACCTATAAAATGAGACAGGTGGATCAGCTGACCTGTTTGGTCTCCTCCTGCTCTAAACTCAGGAAATGATTAGTAAACAGATAGGTTGTGAGCACTTAAAGGAAAACCAGTTACTAAGAGCTGTGCAAAACCAGCATCCATTCTCTGATAGTTTCTGGGCTGGCTGACGAGGCGGTGTTGTAGACTCAGACGGAGACAAGTGGACCTCAGCAAGCACATGAGATGGCCGTATGGCAGACCTCCAGCTGGGAAGGACCGCTGCAGCCAACGCTCCCAAGCCCCCATTTCAGGGATGAGGAGACTGAGGCCGAGAGCCCAAGCACCTCTACCAGGTCACCAAGCTCGCAGCAGTACTCCGACAGCACGGCGACGTCATTTCGTGTGATCCTCACAACAACCTGAGAGGCGGGTGCTTTCATTCACCCCATTTTACAGATAAAGAATCCTTATTGAGCCCCTAGCCCAGGGCCCCACCAGCAAGTGCCTGAGGCAGAGTTTGCACTTGAGTCTTCCTGACTCCAAGCCCCGTCCCCGCTGCTCCTGAGATACTTTTCTGGACAAGATGGGGACTCACAGACATGAGGCGGAATAATCATTCCACCAAGAGTCGCTGATGTCACCCCGCAAGGGAATCTCATCCAGGAAAAAGAGGGGTGACATAATGGAAGTGTCGCACATGGAGTCTTCAGGACGGATCTGAATTCAGGTCAATTCCGAGACTCCTGACACTCTGCTGACACACTGAGCCTCAGTTTCCTCACAGGCAAGGAGGAATAGCACCTCATCGGACTGGGGCTCTGTGACGGAAGCCTGACTGTTGCGGTTTTTACTGACGCCACCATGACCGTGGCTGTGTGTGTTCAACACGGGCGTCTACACCGTGGATGAAAACACAGGAAATTGTTTTTAATAGTAGGTAGAAATCTTTGAGGTCTGCATGTATGAAATACAGGCGTAGACAGTAAGAGGCAGCGAGGTGCATTGTGTTAGACCTGGGGCCAAGAAGACCTGAGTTTGAATCCAGCTCCAGACACTTACTAGACAGCTGTGTGACCCTGGACATTCCCTTAACCTCTCTCTGCCTCCATTGCCCATCTGTAAAATAGGGATAACTAACCAGCCTCCTAGAGTTGTTATGAGCACGAAATAACCCGTGCAAAGCACTTTGCACACCTTAAGTGACCAAGGCAGAGTTCTGAGGGACTCCCCCCTCTCAATCTGGGGACACCCACATTTGGAGGGCCTAGTGAGGACAGAGAAGGTACAGCCAGACAGAGAGGACACCAGCCAGAGGAGGGGGCAACGGACAGGGTCCAGCCAGTCTGCAAATGGGCAATTATTAAGTGTTTCCTGGTTGCCTTGCACTAGGCTGAGCACCAGGCCTACAAAGCAAGGCAGAAAACAGTCTTTGCCCTCAAGGAGCACACAGGCTGAGTGGAGGAGCCAGCAGGCAGGTGTCCCCAGCTTTCTGAGGGTAAAAACAATCACACCCCTGGTGCACTTGGCATCCATGGCGTCAGGGCCACACGATGGCCCAGGGACGGAGGCACTCTAGACATTATTATCCCTGCTTGACAGACAGAGAAACTGAGGCAGGCTCAGAGAGGCTTGTGTCCAACCTCTCAAAGGCACTGCCTGGCTCTCACACACTCACCCGCTCCAGGGCCTCTTGGGAATTTCTGCTCTGGCATCCGGGGCACTTCTCCTCTCTCCAACTGGGAGATCACGTCTGGTTTGGAAACTGGACAGCCTGCGCCTGGGAGAGAGGACGGAGCTGGACCCAGGGGCTGGCTTCCCATGGCAGGCACGGCCAGCACCACGGCCGTGGCTTTCAGGAGACAGGAGTTCCTCCCTTGATCAGGAAGCCCCTGAGGGTGGCCCGAAGGACCCTAAAGGGGCCCCCGGAGGCGAGAGGCACAAGGCCAGGAGGGACAGAGGAAGATGTTCATAGGCCATGCACCATCCCTCCACTCAAGAACCCAGACACCACACCCCAAATGAGCAAATGAGGAACGAAGGCACTCCACGGGATGAGGTACAATCTCGGTGCCATCCCCCCCACCCAGCGAGCTGCCCAATCCTGCCCCCTCCTCCTCAATGGTTTCCATGCCTCGGGTCTCCCCATTCACAGGATAGCTGATGCAGAGCTGAAAGGGAGCCTGGAGGAAACCAGGCCAACTCCCTCACTTTACAGGTAGGTAAACTGAGACAGAGAATTGTTAGGCTTAGCTAGGTCACTCCCACCCTTCCCTGCAGCACCTAAAGGGCAGATTCCACCATGTCACTGCTCCCCACCTCAAACTCCTAGGGGCCAAGCCAAAGTCGCCTCCCTGGCGTCTGAAGTCATTCCTAGGCTGGCCTCTCCCGCGGGGTGGGTGCCCCCTCACCCCCCAGGTGATCCTGCCTCCCCTCTTGGCTTCCTTTCCATCTGGTATGTGTCTTACTGGAAACCTCTTGAGGGCAGGGACTGGTTTTGCCTTTCAGCAAAAGTGCCCAGCACTTAGTAGGGCCTGGCACATAGTAGGTGCTTAATCAGTGGCTGTTAAGGACCAATCGTCAGCTTGTGAAATGCTGACTCTCAGGACAAAGACGTCCTTACCCAGGAAAACGAGGTGCTCATAATTCTCCAGCATCACATCCTGGTACAGGGCCCTCTGTGCAGCATCCAGCTGGGTCCACTCCTCCCGGGTGAAGGCCACGGCCACATCTTTGAACGTCACCGATTCCTGAAACATGGGCCCACTCTGTGTCCCCCAAGGACCGGCCCTGCCCTGTGCCCCAGGGGACACCAGAAGAGGCAGAAGCTCCAGAGGGCTGCATCTTCCGCCCGTTGTGGAAGTGCCCCTTGCTGTGGCCAGCACAGCCTGGCCCGGCCGAGCGGCTCCCAGGGTGTCCCGCGCATGCATCTTACCGTTAGAGAAGCACCACGCTGACCCTCACAGCCTCACTACAGTCGGGATTTGTTGTCTGGCCCTGGATGAGCCAGGGTTGTTTTGACCTGAGGTTTGCCATTGCCACCTTGCTGGAGAGATGATGGAGGGATGGGAGAGGGCACAGCTAGGCAAGGCCCGTAAAGGTCATGGAGGGGGGAGGGGGAAGGAGCCACTGAGGCCAAGACCTTGACAAGCTCCGGGCCCAGCCATGCTCCTTTAACAACACCCCCTCCACCTCCCTGCCAAACCCCTCCATCCCTCCTGCCTCTCCCCCAGCCTTTCCCAGGACTGTGCACACGGCACACACGCACACACACATGCACACACACTGTCTCATTATCCCACCCCACCCCCAGCCACCTCCCAGTGACCCACCCCCACACAAGGGCTCTCATGGCTGACCAGGGCCCTGCAGGCTGGGACAGACCAGGGCACATTCTCCGGCCAGGAGCATTTGCTCAGCTCTGGTTTTGGAGGCTGGAAGAAACCACAGACCTCCATTAGAAAAGGTACATGACCACAGTCACCCTCAAGCAGTGATGACCATGCTCTGGGAGGGCAGCTCCCGAGCCACCAAAGGAACCACAGAGACAGAAGGGCTTCACCTCCACCCCTCTCCGAGATGCCAGGCACTGGACGGGCAGTCTGAGCACCCTGCTGAGAGGGCACTATGGAAAGCAGAGACAAGGACAGAGGGTGGATCCCCAGGAGGGAAGGAGATCAGGGAAGGCTTCAGGGAGGAGGAGGAGGCACCAGGGACTGTGAGGGGTGGAGAAGGGAAAGGAGGAGGGAGGGAGGGTATCCCAGGCCTGGTGCACAGCCAGGATGCAGGGGAGCCCTGGGAAATGAGCCCAGAAAGGACAGACTAGTCAAATTTGTGCCTTCAGCGCCTGTGTGGGGGCTGATGGCCTAGGGGAAGGAAGGGAGCAGGGAGATGGAAAGAGGGGCTGGGAAAATCACCCAGTGGAGGGGACAGGGAAGAAACAAGGGAGATCAGAAAGAATGGAACTCGATAACCAAGTGTGCGAAAAGCCCCCAAACAGAAATGACTTGGGAAAGAACTCTCTCTATGATGAGACCTGCCGGAGAGAAACAAGGCTTAGACCAGCCTCTTACATCACACGTGCCAAGTAGAGACCTGACCTTGAGAGTGAGCTCACACCATCAAAAAAAGCAGGAGAAGTGAATTCCACCCATCTCACTGCTCTGGGAGGACAGCTGTTCTCCTCTCCTCTCCTCTTCCTCTCTCTCTATCTCTGAGTCTCTCTCTCTCTCTTTCCTTTCCCTCTTTTTTCTCTCTCCTCTCCTCTCCTCTCTGTCTCTGAGTCTCTCTCTCTCTTTCCCTTCCCTCTTTTTTCTCTCTCCCCCTCTTTTCTCTCTCTCTTCTTCTCTTTCCTCTCTCCCCCCCTTCTCTCTCTCTCCCTGCCTGTTTCTCCCCCTCATTCTCTCTCTCCCTTCTCTTCTTCTCTCTCTCCCTTCCCTCCTCTCCCCTCATTCTCTCTTCCTCTCTTGTCTCTTATCATCTCTCTCCCTTTTTCTCTCTCTTCTTCTCTCCTCCTTCTCTCTTCCTTTCTCCATTTTCTCTCTTCCTCTCTTTTCTCCCTCTCTCTTCCTCTTTTCTCATTCTCCTCCTCTTCTCTCTCTCTGTACTCTTTCTCTCTCCCTCTCTCTCCCCACCCTTCTCTCTGTCCCTCCCTCCTTCTCCTTCCTAGGACCCTACTTACTTTTTCTTTATTCCCACTTCAGATAAAGATTTTTTTTTATTTGAATGATGAAGGCAGGAAAAAAAATACACACAATAATCAGGAAGCATTGTTCCTCAATGCTTTTAATCTCTGACTTAAAGCTGTGATAGCAAAGAATTGGAAACAAAATAGAGGTCCTCAATTGGGGAATAACTAACAAATTGTGGCATGTGAAAAAGAATATTACTGTGATAAAGGAATGACATATATGACGAATCCGGAGAAGCATGGAAAGACCTGTGTGAACTGATGCAAAGTAAAGTGAGCAGAGTCAAGAAAATACACACAAACACTACACAAACGTAAATGGCAAGAACAGCCATCAGAAAACATTTGAAAATGAACTGTCTGGTTCCCACGCCAGCAGTCAGGGATCAGTTAGAAAACAGAGGAAGGGGAAAGTCACAGAGGCTACAGCAGTAGTGCCTGGACCAGCCCCAGGGAGTCCCCTGGAGACCCCCAGGCTTATGAGGCTGGAGGCTAGACTGCTCCAGGGGCTCCTGGAACAATGACTGTGGGCAGAACATCAACCCCCACTGTATCTGGCACTTTAAATGGAGACAGGCCCAGCCAGAGAAACTACCATAAGAGAAGCCAAAACAAGGACACCCAGTTGGCCAGAATCAGGATTTCTGAGCCGCAAGGGACTTCAGCTCCTACCTAAAAATGAATTCCAAAGTGACCCCAGGGGCTCCAGGGAAGGGAGCCCACCATCTTGGACTGTGGCAGCCCATTCCATTCTGGGATAGCTCTCCTTGAAAGGAGGGTCTGCCTCTTTGCCCCTCCTATCATCTGCTCCCGATCTGCCCGTGGGGCCTGCCATGGAGCCTGCCATGGAGCGACACCCTCCCACACCACCCCGCAGAGGAGAAACTCCTCCAGCTCACAGGACTGCTGCAGGCACCTTCCTGGGGGCTCAGATCCAAAGGCCAGGACTAAGGAGTGAATCACCTGGCTCCTTCCTCGGGCTCTGGGCAGCAGACCGGCATGGCTGACCAGCCAGGTGAAGCTGTCCTCACAGTCCTCAGTGTCTTCACTGAGCTTTTGTCTCTCCCAGCTCCCTCTAAGTAACCTTCTCCCTTAGCCACGCCTAGAACTGCCGGATGGTCTCAGAGGGTCTCATGTCATTCCAGCCTGACGTAAAAGAGACACCTCCCTCAGCCCTGGCTGACCAGAGGGGCCAAACAGCACAGCTCTCATCCTCCTCGAGGCTCTCCCAGAGGCTCCTCCAGGCTCCCAACATGTTCTGGAGACAAGGCCCTTCATTGTCTAGGCTGCCCCCTCTTGGCCCTCTCCAGGTCACTACCCTGTCCTCCAGGGGACATCTGACCAGGGCATCCTACAGCATGTGATGAATCAAAACCCCGAGAGACAGAGTTTCTGGGTAATTAATAATCCATTTAGTAATTAGGCTAGCCAGCAATCAATAAATTGATGGTCAGTGGTTCTGTCCGGAAAGGGAGACCCTGAAATGCCTTAAATCCCTTCTGAAAGGGAACTCCCCTGACAAGTGACATTCAACCCTGATTGGTAGACATTTAATGAGGACGTGGGCTAAACGTCTTCAGCTCCCCCAGCTGAAAATGTGGCCTGATCAGGACTCAGCATCCTCAAGGCATCTGGGCAGCAGAAGCCGTCTCCCTGGCTAGTTTTCTCCTTCATCGTTAAACTTTAGTGGGAGTGACCAAAGGTGGGGCTTGGAGGGAAGCTGGGGTGTTCCTCCCTCAGCCAAAAGCCTGCCCAGACTGGATTCTGTTCAGACTCTAAACAGAATTAGGTTGCCCAGGCGGTGGGTCTGCCAGCCCTTCTGAGACTGAGGGATCTTTTCAGCTGGGTTTTAACCGAAACAAAGGGGAAAGGGTGGATCCCAAATTAAATCAGTCATTAATATGACTGTAGTATCAAGCAGGACCAGTGCCTTCTTACTCCCAGAACCTCACACCCTCATCACACTGCCCCAGATCACTTCCTCAGGAAGGCACCGAAGGCCCCACGCTGGTCCCACAGCCTGGGCCTCAGCCTCAGCGTACTTTCTGCCCATTTTTGCCACTTGGCCCCTCCCCCTCCCGCTGCCCACTCCACACGGCCTTCATGGCCCATCGGAAGGAATCGCGCCTCTTACAGGCAGCATCTCACCCCGGCGGCTTCACAGGAAGCCCCCGTGCCCCTCCTCTGGCACCACCTGAGTGCTGTCCCAGGCATCCTTCCCAGTGTGGGCATCTCCTTTCCCCAATGAGACCATAAGGGCAGGGCTGGGTCTGACGCTCCTTTCCCTCACACCTGTACACACCTGTACAGAGCGAGAGGAGAAGGGTGCTGAGGCATGGAGGGCCTGGAGCCCAGCCACTACAAGGCTCACACCTGCCTGCCGGGGGTCTGAGGACGGGGCTGACGGGCTTCAGGGCCTCTGTGGGGCTGGCATAAGCAGAGAAGAGATGAAGAGGGTCGAGGCCCTCTGAGAAAGGTGACGGGGAGTCAAACTCACCAGGGAAGCGGCCATGCAGAAGCCAGAAGGCATTCCGTCCTCCTCCTCCTCCAGGCTCCTGTCCTGGCACAGGGCGGAGGCTGGTGAAGGCCAAACTGGAGGGAGAGAAGGAATCAGGAGGGAGGCCCAGGAGCCCCCAGCCCCACGCCACACGCCTTCTTCCAGGCTCCTGGCTGCCTCTGTCCACACCTTCCTCCCTTTCCCGGCTCTGCCCTGCCTGGCCACTGCCCTCTGTGGCTCACAGGCCCCGGGCTCCTGCCTCATCGCTGATGATTCTCAGGCAGCACCAGGTCGCTCCGAGCCAAGAGAAAGAGGGCCATGCGTGGCCCCCGCCGTCATGCCCAGAGGCCTCCTCAGTGACTGCCCTCTGAGGCCCAACCCAGCTCTCGTCCACCTCGCAGGTGACCCCTTAGCCCCACCTCCCTTGCCCCAATGTCCTGAAATGCCCCCCGGCCTCCCTGCTCCCAAACCTGCTCCCTCCCATCTCCCACTCCACACCTGGAGTCACCAACTCATGCTTGTTCAGTTGGGTCTGACTTTTCGTGACCCACGAGGGGTTTTCTTGGCAAGGACACCCCAGTGGTTTGCCATTTTCTTCTCAGGTGGATTAAGGCAAACAAGGTTAAGTGACCTGCCCAGGGACACATAGCTAGTAAGCATCTGAGGCCACATTTGAACTCAGACCTTCCTGACTCTAGTCCGGGGCTCTATACACTGAGACATCTAGCCAGCAAGTTCAAATTCTGCCCCGGACGCTTACGAGATAACTTCATAATCCTAGACAAGTCACTTCACCTCTGTCTGCCTCAGGCTTTCTCAACTGTAAAATGGGGATAATAAAATCACCTTCCTCCCAGGGCTGGCTGTAGTGATGAGATCCTGTTGTAAAGTGCTCAGCCCAGTGCTGGGTACACAGCAGGTACTTAATAAATGCTCATTCCTTTCGCCCCTTCCCTGATGCTCATCCCCCCCCACACACGCTCTGCCTCCCCACGTAAGCTCCATGAGGGCAGGGACCGGGCCTTCCTACAGCTCGGAGAGGGGAACAGCGTCAGCCAGGGCTGGGAGAGATCCCCAGTCTTGGCTCCAGGCCATAAGTCCCACCCCGCTCCTCCAACGTGAAGGCCGCACATGCCACGGGGGCCTTCCGATCCTGGCCGCGACCCCCAGACCAGCCCCCCCCAGCCCCGGCATCAGCACAGCTGTGACAGCAACAATAACGACCATGAGGAACGTGGACCCTGCACTTAGCTTCCAAACGTAACCCCCAGGGCCAGAGGAGCAAGGGGAGCGGCTGCCAGCTCAGAAGGAGCCCCGATGGGCAGGGGCTGAGAAAGCGGGGTGCCCAGGACGGGGGAGCCCAGGCTTCCTCAAGGCCTTGGGCCCTGGGTGCCCCTCGAGGCACTGAAAGGAAGGGCCTGGAGCCAGGCCTGCAGGTGCTCAGGGCCATGGGGCCAACCCTTCCCAAGGAGAGAACAGGCCCAGTCAGAGCAGAGATCAGATGCTCCCCTGGACAAGACCAACTAGGAGCCCCAGCCAGGTTACAAAGAGGTCAGGTGAGGCTGGCTGGAAGCTGGTGGACAGAAAATCCAATTAGATGCAGCCAGCATTTATTAAGCTCCTGCTACATGCCGGCCATTGTGCTAAGCCTAAGGAAACAAAGACCAGCCTGGGTCTATCTGGCAAAGTCTATAAAGACTATCTGGAAGTCTATAAAGACTTCCCTGGGTCTATCAGGCAAATCTACAGATAAGCAAACACCAAATAATCCAGGGGAAAGGCAACATGGAAAGCCCACTGGGCCCCAGGAGCATCTGGAAGGCCAGGTCAGGGAGAGGGCTGGAGCCCAGACTCATAGACCAGTAACTGGAGGGACGCCCTTATTTCAGAGAAAGGGAAACTGAGGCCCAGAAAGGTGATGATTTGAACCAGCTCTCGGGGTCAGCAGATGCACGAGCATTTATTAGGCGCCCTCTCAGCACCCGCGGCCCTTCATGAGCTCCCCCGCTGGCATATCTCAGCGACACGATGGGGGTCCCGCCAGAGCCGAGTCGGGGCAAAGCGGGCTCGGAGCCTCCAGATCCAGGGGCCGAAGGAGGCACAGGCCAAGTCCCCCTGATGCCAATCGATAAACACTGGGACACGATCTGTCCCCTGCTTGGCAAATGTTTCCATCTGTCACCAAAGGTCACTAGGGAAAGGTGGGCGGGGCCAACCTGTCCAGGTGGGAGGGACTGGAAGGTGAGGTGGGTGGGGCCAGCCCTGCCCAGGTGGGAGGGACAGAAGGGTGAGGTGGGAGGGGCCAGCCCTGCCCAGCTGGGAGGGGCAGAAGGGTGAGGTGGGCGGGGCCAGCCCTGCCCAGCTGGGAGGGGTAGAAAGGTGGGAGGGGCAGAAGGGTGAGGTGGGAGGGGCAGAAGGGCGAGGTGGGAGGGGCCAGCTCTGCCCAGGTGGGAGGAGCAGAAGTGTGAAGTGGGAGGGGCCAGCCCTGCCCCGGTGGGAGGGGCAGAACTGACCACTTCTCACCTATATTCCAACTCCCCAGGAGCCCGGGGCCCCGTGGTATTAATCAGCGTTGCAGCACAAGCTGGAAAGGAAAGCTCTGAGTTTGAATCCTGCCTCCCATGTTTACCGTTGGTGTGACCTTAGTCAACCTTTGATCCTTTCAGTTTCTCTGTAAAATGGGATCCTGGCTGATGTCAGACCCTTCCCCTCCAAAACCACGCCCCCCCCCCCCCTTAACTACCCTTCCCAGGATGCACCGGGACGACGTCCTCAACTCTCCAGGACAGCTGTCAGCCTGCACAAAGCAAATCCGTAACGACGCGACACGGAGAAGTGCGCCTGCGCAGTCTGACTAAGAACTACTCTTCCCAACATGCACCGGACCACGCCCTCATTCCCTGGAGGAACAAAGCCCTAAAAATGAACTACAGAAGGAAGTGAGCCTGCGCAGTACCCGACTCTGAACTACCCTTCCCAGGATGCATCAGAGCCGCCGCCCTCTCAGAACAACAGCGGCCGGGGAAGTGCGCCTACCCAGCCGGCCAGGGCTGCGGCTGGAGGCGGGTGTGTCGCCGGTCGTTCTCTGCCACCGGAGGCGTCGTCCGGGCCTCACGAAGGATGAAGCCCCGAACTTCCCCTTTCCCATCTCTCTGTCTATTACTCACCCGACGAGCCGCCTGCCGGCGCCGGGAGAACCGAAGGGGATTAGGCCTGCGAAGCTTCTGCGCTTGCGCGAGCCGAGTACTCCACCCGAAACTACCCTTCCCAGAAGACAGCGGGGTGCGCGCGGGGCTTGTGGGAAATGGAGTCCGTCCCGCTAGTAGCGGACGCCTGAGTGTATTCTGGGTAGTGTAGTCCAGGGCCGGCTCCCGTGCGCCACGTGCTCTCCCTCGGCCTGCTCACCCATTTAAGAATGGAAGAAAAGAAGGCGCACATCACGTGGGATGCTGGACTAGGAAGTGTCCCCGTGGTGCAGGCTGCCCTCTTTCCCGGTCTTCGAGGCGCCCCTGCACCCCACAGGTGGTTGGGGATCGGTCGGGGTGGAGAGTGACGAGACGCCCCTTTCCCCTGCCCTTGGGTGTCCTGGGGTCAGCCCCTACGGCCGGTGGGGGCCCCTTATCCTAATGATAATGATGCTGTTCGTGCCCCCGCTAGTGTCTGTGGGGCTCCCGAGGTGCAAAGCGCTTTACCAAGCGACCTTGACAGAGGAGGCCACTGAGGCAGGCCGAGGCGTGCCCCCCCCCCTCCCCGTACAGCCCGTCCGGAGCCTGGCAGGCTCTCCCTGGCTCCCTGCGGGGCGTGCTTGGCAGAAATCCTGCAGCGGTTGGCCGTTCCCCTGTCCGGCCATTTTACAGAGGAGAACACTGAGGCCAGCAGGGCCACGCAGCTAGGGCGGGCCTGGCTCTCCCTGCCTCCCGGCCAGCGCTTACGCCACGCTTCATCGGAATGGCCCGGGCGCTGACCCGGCTGCTCCCCGCTGGGGCGCCCGGACCATCCCTGCATTGGGCGGCGTTTGTCACCTGCCTTTACCAGTACCCTTCCAATCTCCGGCAGAGGAGGGATGTCGATCAATCCATGAGCGATCGAGAAGCGCTTATGAAGCTCCTACTACGCGCCGGGCAGGGCAGCTAGCTGGCACAGTGGGTAGAGTGCTGGGCCCGGAGTCAGGAGACCAGTCTCAGACGCTTACTGGCTGTGTCACCTTGGGCAGTCCTTGTCCGGAGAAGGAATGGCCAGCCGCTCCGGTACCTTTGCCAAGAAAACCCCTAATAGGGTCACAAAGAGCTGGACGCTGAGCAACACCAAATGTGCTAGAGGGTCAGGACACAAAGAGAGGAATTAAATAGCCCCTGCCCTCATGGGGCCACTTTAGCCTTGATTGGGGAGGGCAGGGGGGAGACAAATAGAAACGTCTAAAGAGGGAATGTGCTGACTCAGCAGATGGTAGTTCTAACCCCTCCTTGGAGAAAAAGCTGTGTGAGCCCCAGATGGGTATACCTAGATGGGTACGCTATAGCAAGCGTTGTTTTCGGTATGAGCTGATCAGGTCCGATTCTCCAGTTCTGTGATTCTGGGCCTGGTGGATCATGCTTCTCACCTGCTGAGAGTGGAGGGGCAAAGGGTGCAGGATGAGACCCATTTCTGGACAAAATAGGCCTTAAACGGCACTTCAAGGTTTGCAAAGCTCGACAAAGAGTATCTCATTGCATTCACACAACAACTCTAGCAGGCAGGTGTTCTTATCCCCGCTTTGCAGATGACAAAAAATTGAGACAGATAGAGTGTAAGCTGCCCAGAGTCACATAGTGAGTAAATGTGTAAGGCTGGCATTGAATTTGGGTCTTCCTGACTCCAAGGCCAGTTCTCTGGACATCTGCTCGACTATGCTTATTTGTTACAAGTGAGAGGAACAGAACAGATGTGGGGAGGGGCAGGAGAAGACTGAGGACTAGTGACAAGAGATAGAAAAAGAAAGACATTGCAGCATTAAAAAACACAAAGGAGAGATTAGGACATTCAGAAGGAGATATAGACAAGCAGGACATCTTAGTGCCACACGTGTTTATTACATACATATACATTATGTACTTAATCATCAGTTTCACATGCAATCCTGTTTTCAGTTCTTTATTCATCATGTTGGCTGGTGTTTGTCAAATCCAGAATAACAAAAAAATTCAAAATGCTTTTTTAAAAGAACGTTCTATTTGCCCACCCCCAAAAGGCAGTGGTAGGAGTGATGGATAAAATTTGCAGAGGTTTATTAAGACTTTAGGTAAAGAAAAACTGTGTAACCATTGGCCTCTCCAAAACTGGAATCGTTGTCATGGTTCCCCTCAATGGAGGTCTTGTAGGAGGCTGGGAACAATTTCTCATGCATACTGTTGTAGAAGGGATCCTTTTTCAGGTACAAGTTGGGCTAAATAGCTAGTGAAGTCTCAAATTGTCTGTGGTGTGTGTGTGTGTGAGAGAGAGAGAGATAGGGAGGTAGGAACAGGGAGATAGAGACAGAAACAGAGAAAGATGGGGGGAGGGGTGACTAAACATGTTTCAAGAATTATCTCATGAATTAATCTCAAACCCTCCCCCAGCACATAAATGGTCAATACGCACATCATAGGATGGATGGGAGTTGGCCGTTTTGTGTTCTCTCAGTAAACACCAATGTGGCAAATTCCACCGTCTTCATTGTCCAATATTTAAGAAATGGCTTCTTTGTGATGATTTTCTCCACATTATTACATTCCCACCATTCACATCCAGCATGAAACCTCCAATGGAGGATTAATTACATTTCAAAGCTTTTCTAAGGTCATTACATTCATAAAGGTTTTCTTCTTTCTGTAGTTGACCAAAGTCTTGCTCCGATGCCTCATCATGACCAATGTAACCCTGGCTTCTCAAAGGAGCAAAGACTATACATTAAACTGAACACACTACAAGTATAGGCTTAGTGACATATTTTCTGTCATCTGCAGACCTGCCTAGTTAAGTTTGGAAAGTTTCACCACCAGATTGGCTATACAGTAATGCGCTTTTAGGAGCTCAGCCTGAAGACTTTCCCATACTTATTCTATTCAAAACATTTATTTCCAATATGATTTTTTATTAATTTTTGGTGAGGCGATTGGGGTTAAATAACTTGCCCAAGGTCACACAGCTAGTAAGTGTTAAGCACCTGAGGCTGGATTTGAACTCCGGTCCTCCTGACCCCAAGGCCAGAGCTCTATTCATTGCACCACCTAGCTGCCCCCAATATGATTTTTTATGTGCATTATGGTGTCTGCTCTGGCAGAAGACTTTCCCTGACCCATTATGCTCATAGGGTATCACCAAAGTATGTATTTTCTAAGGTGCAGTAACATGAGAATTGTTGCTGAAGGTTTTCCTAAATTCACTGCAGTCCAATGCCTTCTCAAGAGCATGAGTTTTCTGATGTTTAGTAAGATGACCTCTCTGGCTGAAGGATTTTCCACATTCTATACATTCAAATGGTTTCTCTCCAGTATGAGTTCTTTGATGTATAGTAAGGCTTTCCCTCTGGCTGAAAGACTTACCACATTCATTACACCCAAAGGGTTTCTTACCACTATGAATTACCTGATGATGATAAAGAGATGTCCATCGGCTAAAGGCCCTCCCACATTCATTGCATCTAAAGGGTTTCTCTCCTGAATGAAGTCTCAGATGGTCGGTAAGGCTGCCGCTGTGGCTGAATGATCTGCCACATTCATTACACTCATAGGGTTTCTCTGCAGTATGAGTTCTCTGATGTTTAATGAAGTTTCCCCTTCGGCTAAAGGATTTCCCACATTCATTGCATCCAAAGGGTTTCTCACCAGTATGACTCTTCTGATGATAATAAAATGATGTTCTGTGGCTGAAGGCTTTCTCACATTCGCTACATTCAAAGGGTTTCTCTCCAGCATGAATTCTTTCATGTTCAGTAAGACTTCCCCTCTGGCTAAAGGATTTCCCACACTCACAACATTCATAGGGTTTCTCTGCAGCATGAATTCTCTGATGTTCAGCAAGTCTTGCCTTCCAGATGAAGAATTTCCCACATTCATGGCACTCAAAAGGTTTCTCTCCAGTATGAATTCTTTTATGTTTATTAAGGCTTGCCTTCCAGACAAACGATTTCCCACATTTATTACACTCAAAAGATTTCTCTCCAGGATGAATTTTCTGATGCACAGTAAGGCTTCCTCTTTGCCTAAAGGATTTCCCACATTCATCACAAACAAAGGGTTGCTCTTCAGTATGAATTTTCTGATGTTCAGTAAGGCTGCCCCTTTGGCTGAAAGATTTCCCACATTCTTTACAACCAAAAGGTTTCTCACCAGTATGAATTCTCTGGTGATGAAAAAGGGATTTCCTGTGGCTGAATGCTTTCCCACATTCATTGCATTCAAAGGGTTTCTCTCCAGTATGTATTCTCTGATGGGCAATTAGACTTCCCCTCTGAGTGAAGGACTTCCCACATTCTTTACATTCAAAGGGTTTCTCTCTTGTATGTATAGTTCTATGTTGATCAAGGTGTCCCCTCTGGCTGAAGGCTTTTCCACATTCATTACATGTATAAGGCTTCTGTCCAGTGTGAATTCTCTGGTGTAGAATAAGGTATCTCCTTTGAGTAAAGGACTTCCCACATTCATTACATTCATAGGGCTTCTGTCCAGTATGAATACTTTTATGTTCATTAAAGTGTCCCAACTGGATGAAGGCTTTCCCACATTCATTACATGTATAAGGCTTCTGTCCCGTATGAATTCTCTTGTGTACAGTAAGGTATCTTTTTTGGCTGAAGGCTTTTCCACACACATTACATTCATACGATTCACCTCTAGCATAGAGTATATGATAGTGAATTAGATCTGAATGGTAAATGAAGGGCTTCCAGCACTTATCATACTTGTAAATCTTCTTCCCAAAGAATAGTTTAGTATTTTTAATTATGGTAGGAAACTGATGGAAACGCTTTCCAAGTGTATCGTATTTGTGGAGATGTCTTCCTGTAGGAACTCTCTTCTGGGTCAGGAGGACTGACCCCAACCTGAAACGGCTCTCGCAGGGATTACTTCCACAAACGTTTTCCTCATAAGCACTGTTGCTGCGAGCAACCACCGGTTGTCCTAGTCGTTTTCCTCGGTTGCTCTTCTGTCTCTCTGCCCTGACCTCACATTCCCAAGCTTTTCCCATTTCGGAATCCCAGGAACCATCTCTTGCTAGCCTTTCCTCAGACACCAGTGCCAAACAAAAGCCTTGTGTGGGAGACGAGTCCATGTTTTCACATCTAGTCTTCACAGTAAGGGAATCTGAAATGAACAAAAAACTATGAATATTCATTGTTCTTTATACTGGGAGAATGAAAATGGTTCTAGGGCAACTAGGCAGTGCAGTGGAGAGAGCACTGGGAATGGAATCAGGAAGATTCATCTTCACGAGTTTGAATGTGGATTCAAACACTCACAAGCTGTGTGATCCTGGCCAAGTCATTTAACCCCGTTTGCCTCAGTTCCTCATCTGCAAAATGAGCTGGAGAAGGAAATGGCAAACCACTGCAAAATCTTTGCCAAGAAAACCCCAAATAAGATCACAAAGAGTTGGACAAGACTGAAAAATGACCGAACATCAAGTTGTAGTTTCTATCTTCTCCCTCCAGTAGAATGAAGAACAATCTACAAAAGTTGGCCTAAACAATTAAAGAAACTGGAAGCCCAACTCAACGAACTTACCTTTCAGGGTGTTGTAAATAAACAGGGTGTTAAAGATGTCATTAGAGATCTGTTCCTGGTAAACAGTGGGAAATGTTAGCCCCGTTCTACAGAAGACGAGACTGAGGGTGAAAGAGGCCACACAACGTGCCCAGCATCACGCAGCTGGGAAGTGCCAGAACCAGGATTGGAATCTGGGTCTTCCTCACTCCAACGCCAGCCTTGTGTCCATTAAGCAAACCATTTTGTGATCACAAAAAGCCAGCAGGGTTTCATCTGCAACAAGTCGGGCAAGACTAACCTTATTCCTTTTGTGGCTGACATAAATTTTAACCAAACACATGACAAAACGTTTCCCTCATTCTATTCTTGTGGAAGATGGGGAAGAAGTGAAGATGATAACACGACTGGTCAGATCTGGAAATGGCTGAAGAGTCAGACCTAAAGCATAGTCCTCACAGTTTGACGTCTCCTTCGTTCCCATGGGGTGTTTTGAGTCACTATCAAAGAACTTGGGAATTAGAAGGATCCTCAGTGGCTGCCTGGTCCAACCATACCCCAGAGAGAATCTCTGCATGACTCCAGCCATGCCTGAAGTCTCCCAGTGACCGGAAGCCCACTCCCACCCCAGGCAGCCCATCCCACACAGGGACAGCTGTTAGGGCTTCGGGGAGTTTATCCCACCATCGAATCCAAACTGGCCTCTTTGCAGTTATCCTCCATTCCTCCCAGTTCGGCCCTCCGGGGCCAAGAATAAGCCGGATCCCTTTTTCATGAGACAGCCCATCTAAATGGGCTTTGAATACCAGTATCCTGTCCTCCTCAGGAGCCCGGAGTCTTCCACACTGAGCATCCCAGAGGCCCTTCCACCCACCGATCCTCAGGCAGGGTGAGGGGGATTTGTGGGCACTGGCGGTAGGAAGGTATCCAGCAGCCTGTGAGGGGCCAACTTAAGTTGATTTCAAGCCTGACTGGGCCGAGGCCCCACAAAACCACCAGAGTAAGAGAAGGCCTTGACACAAACAGGGAGGGAAAGAGAAAGCAGTGGAGAATTCACCTTGTGCTGCTGAAGAGGGTAACACATGAGAACCAGAGAGGTCAGGGCTCAGGGTTCAGGTTCAGGTGAAGATGGGGGGGACACGTACATCCACCCCATGACGACAGAACTGCGAGAGACTAGGACCTTTGGGGAAACAATCTGAGGATACCCAAGGACAAGTTAGAAAAGTAAGAACACCCTTTGACCCAAGAATTCTGCTGTTAGAAATACACCTGGAAGGTGGAAAGGAGCCCCTAGAAGAGATCAATGCAGCAAGCATCATTAAGTGCAGAGCCCCAGGGTAGGGGCTGGGGAGAGAGAAGCAGCAGACAGGAAGGATTTGGCTTGACTTCAGAAAACCACCTAACAATGGGAGGAAAAGGGGCTGCACCAGGTAACTTAAATGTTTCATAAATGCTTGTAGGAGTTGATCAGACAATGTAAAATAATGACAAGAACAAGAACGAGGAGGAGGAGGAGGAGGATGAAGAAAAGCAACAACAAAACCCAAAAATGCCTAGGAGAAGCAACCTTCCCAAGTGGCCACAAGAGGAAAAGGGATTTTGTTTTGTGTTTTCATCTTTTCCAAGGTGAGACACATTCAGAACCTATTTGATGCAAGATCATTTTCAGTTCTTTTGTTTAATTGGGTGTTTATTAATAGAGTCAGGTCCCAATTAGTACAAATAATCCCCTTAAGTGGTCACATGTACTTAAATTCATACTATTCAAGGTTAAAATTATATAAAATATGGAAATATTCAGTGTAAATTGGAATAATGCAACCCCTTAACATGATTCCTTATTTGCACTAATCAGAACCTAGCTTTATATTTCAAAAAATGTACAAAAATTTTTCAAAACAGAAGAAATATCTCCATTTCCGATTCTATAAAATATGAAGACAGAGTAATGGAGGAAGAAAAGACTTTGGGTAAAGGAAGAAGGAAAGGGAGAGGAGGAGAGAGGAGAGAAGAGATTTGTTGAAGAGAAAGATAAAAAGAGTGTGAGGGAGCTCATATTTAGAGGGCCCCAGGCCTCCCCACCTGCAAGCCAATGAGTTCGACTTCCAAATCAGGCAAATTTCTAGAATGAATTACTGAAGGAATGGCTTGTAAATATTTATAGAAAAAAATTGCATGATCCATCTCCAGAGAGAAAACTGATGAACTCCAAGTGCAGACTGAAGCAAACTTTTTTAACTTTAATTTGATTGAGGTTTTTTGTGTTTTCTTGTGTAACAAGCCTAGTAGAGAAATTGGTTTTGTATGACTTCACATGTATAATCGATATCATATTGCTTGCCTTCTCAAGGGCTGGGGGAAGGGTGAGAAGGAGGGCAAGAATCTGGGACTCAAAATTTTTTTTGGTGTATAAGACATGTATTCTATTAACTTATCAGTTCCTTGAAAGCAAAAATTTTTTAAATGAACATTAAAAAATTTTTACATGCAATTTGCAAATTTTTAATAAAATAAAAACTATTTTTAAAAAAGAATATGACTTTAGCACAAAAAAGACATTCTAGAGCAGGGGTGGGGAACCCACAGCCTCAAGGCCACATGTGGCCTTCTAGGTCCCCCTTTGGCTGAGTCCAAGTTTTACAGAATAATCCTTTTATGAAGGGGATTTGTTCTATGAAGTTTAGATTCCATGCAAGGGCCGCACTTGAGGACCTAGAGGGCCACACATGGCCTCGAGGCCACAGGCTCCCCACCCTTGCTCTAGAATAACCTTTTCTTTTTCAACAGGATCATAAATTCAAAGATTGAGGAATGTTATAGATATCATCCCCTCCCTTTCAGTGTAAGCAAACCCCCCCCCCCCACATTTTAGTTTTGATACCTCAACTAGGGGTAACCTGGCCTTTCTCTGATGCTGCACAAACATCACACTCAGAGAAAGGGCAGCACACTTGGCCATATCCCAGGGGTTGTCTATAAATGGCCAAGGCAGTGGAGAAAGAATTGGGATTTCCAGACATCGGAGCAGGTGTGGTTGTCCGGCACAACCCAGAGAAGGAAAGGTCTCGCTCCTCTTCCTCCCCGCCCCGCCTCCCACCAGCATTAGGGACACTTTCACCTGGACTTCCAGCTTTCCACCGTTGGACTAGAATCACCCAACTGCTCAACTAGCTTGACTGTGTGTGACTATGCATTTGCAGCCAGGGACACGCTGAACGCAGGGGTCTACAAGGCGCCCGGTGAACAAACCACTCAGGACTATGGGGAACGTAGCCCACGAACTGGAGGAAAGGCCTTTCAGCCCTTCTAAACCTGAGCCCACTGTCCCTTGGACTCAGAGGGTCACGACATTTGAGGAAAGCTATTCGAGGGTACCACCTTAGTAAGCGGCCCATCTCGAAAGCTTCTAAGGCTAGCTGACTCCAAAGATTCTCAAAAGACTCCCCCCCTGGGGAGCTGGGGGCAGGTAGCATGCCAGTGGGGCTTGAGCCAATGATTAGACTAAAGCCCTGAGTGGGAGAGGCAGCCCAGCTCTCTGATCTCACACAGGCTCCAGAAGCAAAGCAGGTAATTCGTGAAGAATTTCCCTTGCTATTCCTGAGAAATTGAGAAATGTGTATTAGGCACTAGTAGAATTAGGTGAATTAGAACCCTGGCTCAAGGTCAGCATTGGGTCTCCAGTGGAGTGCTACAGGAATCTGTGCCTGGCTCTGACCTGTTTAATATTTTTATTCCTGACACAGATAAAGGCACAGAGGGGATCCTTCTCAAATGTGCAAATAACACAAAGCTGAGCGGGATACTATGACCGGTGGCTGATTTGAGTACTGTGAAATCTAGTAAGGAGAAATGTAAAGTCTTGCAGTTGGATACAGAACACTAACTTCCCAGTACCAGAAGGGTCATAACTGGCGAGCAGGTGACTGAAGGTTTTACCAAATGGGCCAGCTACACAGAGGCTGCCCTGAGAGGCTGATGAGCCCCCTCACTCACCTGCAGGAATCACACCAGCTGTGTGTCCAGGCTCTGGGTCGGGGGCTCCACGCAACTGACCGAAGTAAGGGCCTCGACCGTCTGGCTGCAAGCAAAGGAGCCCGAGGCATCGGGCTGAGGCAGCCCCCTCGGCAGCCCCCAACCACTCTTCTGCCTCTCCACTGCACCTCGAGTCTCGCCCTCGGGGGAACTCCTGCTCTGGCATCCAGGACACACCTCCTCTCTCTAACTGAGAGATCATTTCTGGTCTGGAACCTGGAAACCCTGCTCCTGGCAGAGAAGGAGAGAAGGTGCTGAGGACAGAGACACATCTGGGGACATTTCTCCTTTTTTTTAATAGTAGAAGGCAGCAAGGGTGGCACAAACGACCTGAACAACTCCAAGCAACGATCAGTCACTTACTGTGTGCCAGGCCTATGGGGATACAAAGGCTGGCCAAAACAGTCCTTGCTCCCAGGGGGTTCATGAGACACACCCACAACTAGCTAGATATATAAAGGATGTCTGCAGACAGGTACTAGCATTAAAGGGATCTGGGAAAGCAACCGGCAGGCCCTTTCGGAGAGCTGCGGCCTTTAGGAAGGAGGAACACAGAGACGCCCATGACAAGGCCTGAGGCCAATCTCCTATCTCCAGCTCCCTCTCAGGCATCTCCAGCGGATGTCCAGGAGACATCTCAAACCCAACTCATCCAGAACGGAACTCGTTATCTTTCCCCCTCCTCACCTCCTACCCTCTAGTACTGCTGATGGTACCACCATCCTCTGGGTCCCTCAGGTTCCCAACCTAGCCCCTCCTAGCCTCCCTCTTAGCCCCCAGATCCACCATGGAGCCAAGGCCTGTCAACTTCACCTCTGCAATATCTCTTGAATGTACCTGCTTCTGCCCTCCGACACAACCGCCATGCTGGCGCAGCCCCTCATCACCTCACACCACAATGCCTTCCTGTTTCAAGTGTCTCCCCACTCTAACCAACCCCATTCAGTCACTAAAGTGACTTTCCTAATAGGCAGGCCTGATCATGTCACCCCCCC